AGTTAAATTGTTTTTAGCTTGTTATATCATCGCATTTGTGAAATTTCATTGTTATTGTTTCACTACCTTAAGCTAACCTTTATCGAACTTTTGTTTGTTTCAAATAGAGAGCCTTGGCCGCTGGATGGCATGAAGTTTGAGACATTGAAGGAGCAGCATGCCAGAAGAAATCCAGAGGATTTAGAGATTGACTATGGTATTTGCTTATTAGTATTTTTATCTTAGATTTGCTTTGCCATCTAAACAACTTTTATATTTATCTAGAACCTGTTGCTAACACATTGCAAAATAGTGACACTTCTCCTTTTATGTCAGAGGAGCAGTTCATCTCAGAAGATGAGGATGTTCAAGATGAAGATCCAATCTCCTATGATTCAGATGTTACAGAAACAGATGCCATTACTGAAAATGATTATTGGGAGGAAGAAGGCGCATAAACGGCCCATGCTAATCTTGGTAGTGGTTGGGGAAGAATCCTATATAGTCCTCTACGAAGGGGCAAGCAGATTGAAATGGACATTTGTCGATCAATGGATCGAGAAGGCACTGAAGGGTCGTTTGACCGAATTGTTATTACAAAGAGCAAGAACTCAACATTGCATCATCAGGCTCGAAGATCGATCTAGGGTAATGTCACCACCCAAAACCACCCCAGTCGTGATGACGCCTATCATGGAACCAATCAGTATTTTCCATTCTTAGGATATAATCAAAGCTTTTTAACAATAAACCTTCATAAAGTGTTTAAAACAAATCAACAGTGCGGAAAGAAAGTCCGACATCGAGGTGTCACTAGTCATGAGCATCTACTACAATTGTCTGACAACTTCAAGACTAACATGGTTGGGAAAAATCACAAAATACACTAAGGGAGAATAAGAAGGGAGAAAAGCAGGACTGCGATCGCCAGGCAACTACCTTGCTAACTCCGATGAACCTGCCATCGAGCTCAGAAATACTTGAATCTGCACACAAGGTGCAGGGAGTAATGTGAGTACGCCAACTCAGTAAGTAATAAAAGTAAATAAAAACTGAGCAGTAGGAAACGATAAATCCACATCATGATAAACTCAGTATGCACAACAAGCTTTCAAATCAGAATATGAGTCAATCGTCTCATTTAAAATCCAGCTTTTGGTAAAAATCATTTGAAGATGCTTTCCAACAGTTTCCATGGAGGTTCAATACAGTTTATAGTAAAAGTGATGAAAATCATAATCGGCCCCTCGGGCAAAACATAGTTCGTATACAGCCCCCCTCGAGCAAATAAAAACCATATACACCTCATAACATAAAAATCTCAGTGGAAATAACAAAGCCAAATCAGTTATTTAAATTCCGAACATCTCATAAAACTCCAATTTAAGTGAAAGTTGTTTAAAATCATTTGTTCAACATTTCCAATAGAGGCTCAGCATAAAGAGGAGTGAAAAAAGTAATTTCGTAAAAACAAGCCCCTCGGGCAAAGCATCACTCATATGTATATAGCCCCTCAGGCAAGCCATGACTCATATATATATAGCCCCTCGGGCAAGCCTCTCTGTTACTCGAGACTCAACTCTCATCAATCAGCGCTCACACTCAGCACTTATGCTCAATAGGTACCTTATAATAATCGCTGCGCTGTGCAGCCCGATCCATAAATATATATAGTCGACTGCGCTCTGGGGGTGTGCAGACTCCGGAGGGGCTCCTACAACCCAAGCGCTATATCGCTGCAGCGTACAACCCGATCCATAAATATAATCCTCACAACCAGGCCCTCGGCCTCTCTTAGTCATCAACCTCACAATCAGGCCTTCGGCCTCTTTCAGTCATCAACCTCACCATCAGGCCCTCGGCCTCTCTCAATCATCAACCTCACATGCCATTTGGGCTATTAGTAAAATAGGGTGTTCAGCCCAAAATATCATTTTTATGCATCAAAGGAGAAATAAATATTGAGTTATGAAATCAATAAAAACATAACATGACCGAGTACATATCTTAAATCAAAGCAGTGAGGAAATAATAAGGAAAAGCCCCTAAGGGTCCAAACAACTTGGCACGAGGCCCACATATGGCATTCAGCCCAAAATATAATAATATTTTCCTAAACACAAGTGTATCAAATAGTTTTTAGTTACAGGACGATCCCCAATGGTGCACGCCCCCACGCTCGTCATCTAGCGTGTGCGTCACTTCAATAAAGGCCTCACCACCACCATTTGGACTCTCTGAGGCAATCGACTAACCAATAATAGTGCACCTGATATAGGTAGAACTGAAATAATGTCTGTTTAAACATATTATCTTCAAGCGAAACATAATCACACGACTCTCCAATTGTTACATCATAAACCCAAACTTGATCAGAGTAATAAACAACATAAAATATACCGTTATAGTATTTAAGACTGGTAACTCCACCAACTACATTAGATCTATCGATTTTAATATTAGTCCAATTGAGATCTCCAGGTTGCCAAAATGCCAAACAATGTTTATATCCATAAAAGGAAACCATTAATACATAATCTGATGTAAGAGAAGGGTTAGTAGATAAGACAACTTGATCGATGCATGGATATCCTCCATCTGTATTGTCGCAATCAAAAGCCAATAAGGCATGTTGTGGAGGAAGTTGGATTAGGGTACTGGAAAAAGGATGCAACAAGTTTACCTCTCCAGTGTAAGCCGCGGTGCAGATCCATCCCTCATATATAAAAAACTCTCGCCCTCTAGCTTCGGGGAGAAAAATACGTGCAACTTTCTGCTTGGAAAGAGAGTAAAATTTTCAGCTACCATAAGCAACATAACTTGGGACGAAAACACATCAAAGTTTTCCTTTGTAGCAACAGTTCGCTAAGAGGTTGAAACAACACCAAAAACAATGAAATCTTTAATCACTTTAGTACGCTTTGCAATCAGACCAAGAAAATCCATGGGCAACTCCCCCCAGTTTGCCATAACTTTTAAATAAAAGGGTGTAGTATGTGAAGGTTTCAGGGCAACAAAAAAGCACTCTTTGTTTACCGTATTGACTTAGGAGGACATAAATAAAGGACCAATATATTTCCATGCTGACAAGAATTGGGAATCTAGTTCGACTTTTTTTGTAGTTTGGCATCATGTTGGACTTTGAATATAAAGTCGAACTAGATTCCAAATTCTCGTCAATATTGCAATGCATAAAAATCAGGAATACCCTAATTTACAACTGGTAATTAAAAAATAGTCATTGAAATTTTGCCATTTTTTCTGAAAAAATAATAAACAAAAATACACTTAAAAATCCGAAAACATTCGAGCATAGAGGTCTCAACACCACCATTTTGATCTTCTGAAGAAAATCTGCTAACTAGTAATAGTGCACCTAATACCTCTACTAGGTACTAGGTAGAACTGAACTACCGTTTAAACATATTATTCTCAAGGACAACAAGAACACACGACTCTCCAATTTTTACATCATAAACCCAAACTTGACCAGAGTAATACACAACATAAAATTTACCCTTATAGTATTTAAGACTGGTAACTCCACCAAGTACGCTAGATTTGTCGATTTTAATATTAGTCCAGTTGAGATATCCAGGTTGTCAAAAAGCCAAACAATGTGTATATCCATAAAAAGAAACCATTAATACATAATCTGATGTAAGAGAAGGGTTAGCAGATAACACATCTTGGTCGATGAATGAATATCCTCCATCTGTATCGTCGCAATCAAAAGACAATAAGTCAATTGCGGAGGAAGTTGGATTATGGTACTAGAAAAAGGATGCAACAAGTTTACCTCTCCAGTGTAAGCCGCGGTGCAGATCCGTACCTCTGATATGAAACACCCTGGACATGTGCCTTTGGGGAGAAAAATACGTGTAACTTTCTATTTGGAAAGAGAGTAAAATTTTCGATAATCATCATCTTTATCAGCTAGCATAAGCAACAGAACTTGGGGCGAAAACACAACAAAGTTTTCCTTTGTAGCAGAAGTTTGCCAAGAGGTAGAAACAACATGAAAAGCAATGAGATCTTTAATCACTTAAACACGCTTTGCAATCATACCAAGAAGATCCATGGGCAACTCCTGTTCGCCATAACTTTGAAATAACAAGGTGTAGTTTGTAAGGGGTTCAGGTCAACAAATAAAGCACTTTTTGTTTACCATATTGACTTAGGAGGACATTAAATAAAGGACCAGTATATGCCCATGCTGACAAGAATTTGGAATCTAGTTCGACTTTATTTGTAGTTTGGAATCGTGTTGGACTTTGAATATAAAGTCGAACTAGATTCCAAATCTCGTCAATATTGGAATGCATAAAAATCAGGAATACCTAATTTACGACTGGTAATTCAAAAATAGTCATTGAAATTTAGTCAGTTTTTTCGTAAATATAAAATATGAACAAAAATACCTTTAAAAATTCGAAAATATTCCAGCATAGAGGTCTACGCACCACCATTTGGAACCTCCGAGGGAAATCGGCTACCATTAATAGTGCACCTGATAGCTCTACTAGATAGAACTGCACTAATGTCTGTTTAAACATATCATCCTCAAGCCAAACATAATCACACAACTCTCCAATTGTTACATCATAGACACAGACTTGACCAGAGTAATACACAACATAAAATTTACCCTTATAGTTTTTAAGACCGGTAACTCCACCAACTACATTAGATTTGACAATTTTAATATTAGTCCAGTTGAGATTTCCTGGCCGCCAAAAAGCCAAAATATGTATATATCCATAAAAAGTAACAATTAATACATAATCTGATATAAGAGAAGGGTTAGCATATAACATAGCTTGGTCGATGCATGGATATCCTCCATCTTTATTGTTACAATCAAAAGCCAATAAGGCCTGTTATGGAGGAAGTTGGATTAGGGTACGGGAAAAAGGATTCAACAAGTTTACCTCTCCAGTGTAAGCCGCGGTGCAGATCCATCCCTCTGATATAAAACACCCTCGACATGTAGCTTTGGGGAGAAAAATACGTGTAACTTTCTACTTGGAAAGAGAGTAAAATTTTCGATAATCATCATCTTTATCAGCTAGCATAAGCAACGGAACTTGGGGCGAAAATACATCGAAGTTTTCCTTTGTAGCAGCAGTTCGGTAAGAGGTTGAAACAACACCAAAAGCAATGAAATCTTTGATCACTTTAACATGCTTTGCAATCAGACCAAGAAGATCCACGGGCAATTTCGCCCAGTTCGCTAACTTTTAAATAAAAGGGTGTAGTTTGTAAAGGTTTCATGGCAACGAAAAAAGCACTCATTGTTTACCGTATTGACTTAGGAGGACATTAATAAAGGACCAGTATATTCCCATGCTGACAAAAATTGGGAATCTAGTTTGACTTTATTTGTAGTTTGGCATCGTGTTGGAATTTGAATATAAAATCGAACAAGATTCCAAATTCTCGTTAATATTGAAATGCGTAAAAATCCGGAATACCCTAATTTACAACTGGTAATTAAAAAATAGTCATCAAAATTTAGCCATTTTTTCTGGAAAAATTAAATATAAAGAAAAATACACTTAAAAATCCGAAAACATTCGAGCATAGAGGTCTCAGCACCACCATTTGGATCCTCTGAGGCAAATCTGATAACCAATAATAGTGCACCTAATACCTCAACTAGGTAAAACTGAACTAAAGTCCATTTAAACATGTCATCCTCAAGCGAAACATAATCACAGGACTCTCCAATTGTTACATCATAAACTCAGACTTGACCAGAGTAATACACAACATAAAATATACCCTTATAGTATTTAAGACTGGTAACTCCACCAACTACATTAGATCTGTCGATTCTAATATTAGTCCAGTTGAAATCTCCAGGTTGCCAAAAAGCCAAATAATATTTATATCTATCAAAAGAAACCATTAGTACATAATCTGATGTAAGAGAAGGGTTAGCAGATAACACAGCTTGGACGATGCATGGATATCCTCCATCTCTATCGTTGCAATCAAAAGCGAATAAGGCCTGTAGTGGAGGAAGTTGGATTAGGGTACAGGAAAAAGGATGCAACAAGTTTACCTACCCAGTGTAAGCCGCGATGCAGATCCATCCCTCTGATATAAAAAACTCTCGCCTTCTAGCTTCGAGGAGAAAAGTACGTGTAACTTTCTGATTGGAAAGAGAGTTAAATTCTTGATAATTATCATCTTTTTTAGCTAGCATAAACAACAAGACTTGGGGCGAAAACACATCGAAATTTTCCATTGTGCCATCAGTTCGCAAAGAGGTAGAAACAACACCTAAAGCAATGAAATCTTCAATCACTTTAACATGATTTGCAATCAGACAAAAAAGATCCATGGGAAACTCCACCGAGTTCGCCATAACTTTGAAATAAAAGGGTATAGTTTGTAAGGGGTTCAGGACAACGAAAAAAACACTCTTTGTTTTAAGTATTGATTTAGGAGGACATTAAGTAAAGGACCAGTATGTTCCCATGCTGACAAGAATTTCTAATCTACTTCGACTTTATTTATAGTTTGGAATCGTGTTGGACTTTGAACATAAAGTCAAACTAGATTCTAAACTCTCATCAATATTGGATTGCATAAAAATTAGGAGTACCCTATTTTACAACTGGTAATTAAAAAATAGTCATCGAAATTTAGCCACTTTTTTCGTAAATATAAATTATGAACAAAAACACCCATAAAAATTAGAAAACATTCAACATAGAAGTCTCAAAACCACCATTTGGATCCTCTAAGGCAAATCAGCTTACCAAGAATAGTGCACCTAATACCTCTGCTAGGTAGAACTGAACTAACGATCGTTTAAACATATTATTCTTAAGCCAAACAAGAACACATGACTCTCCAATTTTTAAATCATAAACCCAGACTTGAGCAGAGTAATACACAACATACAATTTACCCTAATAGTATTTGAGACTGTAACTCCACCAACTACATTAGATCTGTCGATTTTAATATTACTCCAGTTGAGATCTTCAGGTTGCCAAAAAGCCAAATATTTTTTATATCCATAGAAAGAAGCCACCAATACATAATCTGATGTAAGAGAAGGGTTAGCAGATAACACAACTTGGTCGATGCATGGATATCCTCCCTCTGTATCGTCACAATCAAAAGCCAATAAGGCATGCTTTGGAGGAAGTTGGATTAGGGTACGGAAAAAGGATGCAACAAGTTTACCTCTCCAATGTAAGTCGCGTTGCAGATCCACCCCTCTGATATAAAACACTCTCGCCCTGTTGCTTCGGGGAGAAATATACGTGTAACTTTCTGCTTGGAAAAAGTGTAAAATATCGATAATCATCATGTTTATCAGCTAAAATAAGATCCGGAACTTGGGACGAAAACACATCAAAGTTTTTCTTTGTAGAAGCAGTTCGCCAAGAGGTAGAACCAACACCAAAAGCAATGAAATCTTTAATCACTTTAACACGCTTTGCAATTAGACCAAGAAGATCCAAGGGCAACTCCGCCCAGTTCGCCATAACTTTGAAATAAAAGGGTGCAGTTTATAAGGGCTTCCGGGTAACGAAAAAAGTACTTTTTGTTTACCGTATTGACTTAGGAGGACATTAAATAAAGGACCAGTATATTCCCATGCTGACAAGAATTTGGAATCTAGTTCGACTTAATTTATAGTTTGGAATCGTAATGGACTTTGAATATATAATTGAACTAGATTCAAAATTCTCGTCAATATTGGAATGCATAAAAATCAGGAATACCCTAATTTACAATTGATAATTAAAAATAGTCATTAACATTTAGCCACTTTTTCGTAAATATAAAATATGAATAAAAACACCCTTAAAAATCAGAAAATATTCCAGCGTAGAGGTCTCAGCACCACCATTTGGATCCTTTGAGGTAAATCTGCTAACCAGTAATAGTACACCTAATACCTCCACTAGGTAGAACTGAACTAATAGTCGTTTTAACATATTATTCTCAAGTCAAACAAGAACATATGACTCTAAAATTTTTACACCATAAACCCAGACTTGACCAGAGTAATACACAACATAAAATTTACCCTTATAGTATTTAAGACTGATAACTTTAACAACTTCATTAGATCTGTCGATATTATATTAGTCCAGTTGAGATTTTCAGGTCGCCAAAAAGCCAAACAATGTTAATATCCATAAAAAGAAACCATTAATACATAATCTGATGTAAGTGGAGGGTTAGTGTATAACACAGATGGTCGATGCATTTATATCCTTCATCTTTATCGTCGCAATCCAAAGCCAATAAGGCTTGTTGTGGAGGAAGTTGGATAAGGGTACGGGAAAAAGGACGCAACAAGTTTACCTCGCTAGTGTAAGTTGCGATGTAGATCCATCCCTCTAATATAATACACTCTCTCCCTCTAGCTTCGGGGAAAAAATACGTGTAACTTTCAGCTTGGTAAGAGCGTAAAATTCTCGATAATCATCATCTTTATCAGTTAGCATAAGCAACAGAACTTGGGGTGAAAGCACATCGAAGTTTTCCTTTGTAGCAACAGTTCGCTAAGAGGTAGAAATAGAACCAATAGCAATGAAATCTTCAATCACTTTAATACACTTTGCAATCAGACCAAGAAGATCCATGGGCAACTCCGCCCAGTTCGCCATAACTTTGAAATGGAAGGATGTAGTTAGTAAGGTGTTCAGGGCAACGAATAATACACTCTTTGTTTACCGTATTGACTTAGGAGGACATTAAGTAAAGGACCAGAATATTCCCAGCCTAACAAGAATTTGGAATCTAGTTCGACTTTATTTGTAGTTTGGAATCGTGTTGGACTTTTAATATAAAGTCGAACTAGATTCCAAATTCTTGTCAATATTGAAATACATAAAAATCAGGAATACCCCAATTTACAACTGATAACTAGAAATAGTCATCAAAATTTTGCCAGTTTTTCGTAAATATAAAATATGAACAAAAGCACCCTTAAAATTCGAAAATATTCCAGCATAGAGGTCTCAGCATAACCATTTGGACCCTCTGACGCAAATCGGCTAACCAATAATAGTGCACCTAAAACCTCTACTAGGTAGAATTGAACTAATGTCTGTTTGAACATATCATCCTCAAGCCAAACATATTCACACGACTCTTCAATAGTTACATCATAAGCCCAGACTTGACCAGAGTAATACACAACATAAAATTTACCTTTATAGTATTTGAGACTGGTAACTCCACCAACTACATACGATTTATCGAGTTAAATATTAGTCCAGTTCAGATCTCCAGGTCGCCAAAAAGCCAAACAATTTTTATATCCATAAAAAGAAACTACCAATACATAGTCAAATGTAAGAGAACGGTTAGCAGATAACACAGCTTGGTCGATGCATGTATATGCTCCATCTGTATCGTCACAATCAAAATCCAATAAAGCCTGTTGCAGAGGAAGTAGGATTAGGGTACGGGAAAAAGGATGCAACAAGTACCTCTCCTATGTAAGCCGCAGTGCAAATCCATCCCTCTGATATAAAACACACTCACCCTCTAGATTCAGGGAGAAAAATACGTGTAACCTTCTTCTTGGAAAGAGAGTAAAATTCTCGATGATCATCATCTTTATCAGCTAGCATAAGCAATGGAACTTGGGGCGAAAACACATCGAAGTTTTCCTTTGTAGAAGCAGTTTGCCAAGAGGTAGAACCCACACCAAAAGCAATGAAATCTTTAATCACTTTAACACGCTTTGCAATATGACCAAGAATATCCAGGGGCAACTTCGCCCAATTTGCCATAACTTTGAAATAAAAGGTTGTAGTTTATAAGGGTTTCAAGGCAAAAAAGCACTTTTTGTTTATCGTATTGACTGAGGAGAACATTAATTAAAGGACCTGTACATTCCCATGCTGACAAGAATTTGGAATCAAGTTTGACTTCATTTATAGTTTGGAATCGTGTTGGACTTTGAATATATAGTTGAACTAGATTCCAAATTCTCATCAATATTGGAATTCGTAAAAAACAGGAATACCCTAACTTAAAATGATAATAAAAATAGTCATCAAAATTTAGCCACTTTTTCCATAAATATATAATATGAATAAAAACACCCTTAAAAATCCGAAAATATTCCAGCATAGAGGTCTCAGCACCACCATTTGGATCCTCTGGCCTGGGAAATGGCTCCTGTAGTAGAAACAGAGACCGCCTGAGCAAGTCTGGTGCAGACGGTCAGAATCTGAGCTAAGGTCTCCTAAAGACCTAGAATCACAAAGCGCACAGCTGGTCCCACTGGTGCATCCACAACTGGGACCTGATCCTGTACTGGAGCAACTGGTAGATCTGCTGGTGCTGCCTTAGCTGCGGTGCGGGCTACACCGCTGCCCATACCATGGCCTCTACCGCGACCTCGGCCTCTTGCGGCCCCAACTGATGGTACTGGTGGCTGTTCGTCCTGACCGGTAGTACGTGTCATCGCCATCTGTGAGAGAATAGAATAACAGAAGTTTAGTTACCAGAATCAATAGATTCCACGACAAGAGTTTAAGAATGTGAAATTTCCTAAGGGTTCTGCAGCCTCTCGAAGATAAGTATAGACGTCTCTGTACCTATCCGCAAGACTCTACTAAACCTGCTCATGACTCGTGAGACCTATGTAACCTAGGCTATGATACCAACTTGTCACGACCCAAAAAACTGTCACGACCCAAACCCCGCTCCGGTCGTGATGGCGCCTCTCGTGAAGACAAGGCCAGCCAGACCATTTTAGAACACCACTTTTAAGCAGTTAAACAGTTCAAATATGACTTAATGATATTAATTAACAAAATTACAACTCAACACAGCCCACATCGGGGTGTCACAAGTCTCGAGCATCTAGAAGGATTTTAATGCAACTACAAGGCCTGTAATATATAGAATAGAATTTAGAATCAAAAGGAAGCAATCTGGTGCCGCGAACGCTGGCGGTCACCTGACTCAGCTACGATAACGAAATCTCTAATCAGCTCAAAACCCACTACCGGTGATCAAATACCTGCATCTGCACACGAGGTGCAGGGAGTAAAGTGAGTACTCCAACTCAGTGAGTAATAAAGGTAAATAACAACTGAGCAGTAAGAAATCACGTAAAGCAAGCCATCATGCTATATAGGAGCAAGGTAAACCCTTTGAGAAAATAGTGAATCTGTAAAATCTTTAGAAATATCTTGGCTCAGTTTAAAACCTCTTTTGAAAATGTCTTTTTCCAACAGTTAAGCAAATGAATGCGAAACAAGTAGTGCAAGCAAGCACAAAAGTCAGCCCCTCTGGCACAACACTCCGTTAACAGATAACGCCAGGATATCAGGTAATTATTGCAAGAAGTAGCATAAAAGCCAATGAAATAAGAGTACAAAAATATTATGACAGATAATACAAATAAGAACAGATGCATGAGTGCAATGCAATGCATATGACGGTACACACTGGTACCCACTCATGGCATCAACCAGGCACTCGACCTCAATATCAATATAACACCGCTGCGGCACGCAGCCCGATCCATGCTCAGTCCAGAAATGCACATAAGCCTCTTGGGCAATATTAAAATAATAGTTGTCAGCTCAAAACGTCAATAAAATATTGTTTAAGTTTTCAAATCTTAGAAAGATCGCTGAGTTTGCGAAAACAATATTTAAAACCTTGGACCGAGATCAAATAATATGCAAAAATAATGCGAAAACAATGATATCAATCCCTGAAGGATTCAAATAAATGTCACGAAGCCCAAATATGGCAATCAGCCCAAATTATGATGATAACAAGTAGTTTCAGTCAAATACGCAGTAATTTCATCAATCGGGACGGACCAAGTCACAATCCCCAACGGTGCTCTACCCCACGCCCGCTATCCGGCGTGTAAGTCACCTTAATATAGCACTACGGTGTGCAAATCCGAGGTTTCAAACCCTCAGGATATCATTTACAATCATTACTCACCTCGAACCGGCGAAATCTCTAGCTCGCGACGCCTTTGCCCCTCAAACCGGCCTCCACGCGCGTCGAATCTATCCAACATCAGAGCGAATACATCACAATATGCCAATGGGACAATACCCAATCAAAAACAATCGAAAAATAGCAAAAATCTCGAAATTAGCAAAACTCGAGCCCCGGGCCCAATTCTCGGAAATCAGAAAATTTAACATCAATGGATTCCTCATCTTCTTACGAGTCTATACACATCAAAATTGCCAGAATCGGGGTTCATTTGCCCCCTCAAATTCCTAATTTAAGCTCTCTTAGGTTCAAGCCACCACCATTTTTGACCTTTAATTCCTTGAGTTTTCAGTTCTAATCCATGTATTTACACCATAAAATCATGTTCTAAGTCCAAGAATTCATACCTGATCAAAGCTCTCGAAACCTTCTTCAAAATCGCCCAAAAACTCTACAAGTCTGAAGTGCAATATGTTGCTCTTTCAAAAATTCGCGAAGAAGACTAATTTAATACTCTGCCCAGTCATCTCGCATCTGCGGTCCCATT